TATATATATATTACACTTTTTACATTTTTCAACTGAATAAAATTATAGTATAACATGGTCCCTTGTGTTTTATTTTTGTTTTTGATTAACCACTTTGTTGGCTAAACTTCATATAACTCTCTCTGCATCATTTATGCATCATTGCATAAAGTTTAGTTAGGAAATGAATAACATCACAAGAAGATTTTGTATTTGCAGCTCAAATTGTACATGAATGAATTAAAAGACAAATGATAATCAATCATCCAATCCAGGTCCTTACTTGTTTACTTGTTTTCCTGCTGCAACACGATTCAGTGATTGAACTACCTCTTCAACTTCTGCAAAAGCCTTTTAATCTGACATTCATTCAAATCAGGTGTGTTGGCACAAAGAAACCTCTAGCATGCCGGATATAGTTCTCCAGGACTGSACCCCCCCCGATTTGGATAAACAGGAGATTTGTGCAAATCAGTTAGGTGCAAAAAAAGCTAAAAGTGACAAATTTTTGCTTTAGTGCATGCAATAATAATTTGATGTTTCACTTGCTTACTAATCAATATATTAAGGAAAAAGTGACAAGTGTAGAAAAAAGTAAAAAAAAAATGCTTTATTTTTTCCTCAAACCATAAGCTAATAATTTATTCAGTTCATTGCATTTATGTAAATTGAGTTTTATTTTTTTTAAATAACACAAATCAAAACAAAAAAATCTGTTCAATTTAAAGCGTGGCAAAATGTACAGTTTTATCTGAAATCATAAATTAAAGATTAATTATCCTTATTTTCTTCTCTGTTCACACACTGCGCACCAGTAGTTAGCCTAAACAATATTTCATTGACCTTCATGATATAACAGAAATAAATGTTAGTGGTTTAATAAGAAATTTTGACTTGGTTTGAAAACCTGTTTCTTTTGGGTTTATTCTTGTGGGGCAAAGCAGGTAAAGCTTGCAAAACTATTTATAGATGGTCTGCATCTGCTGAGCATCTTCTCTGCAGATACTCAATCAGCCCATCAGTCTGCAGATTAAAAAATCTCACAGCACACATGTGTTTGATTAGAATATGGACAAATGTTTCAGGTTAATACCTGAATCCAGCACATCTGCAGATTTTAGTTTTTAGTTGTTCCCCACTCTTGGAGGTGATGGTTTTATGTGTGTAGTGGTGATGGTGGTTGTCTGTATGTTAACATAATTTCTCATGAATCACTGATAAGATTTTATTGACACTTTCAGAGGAAGGAAACATTGGTTCATCTAGAATGACTATTGGAATGATGGGATTTCTGTTGTGACAACACTTTTTTTGTACTAAAAAAGCACTAAAACATGTGAGGCTACAATCCTGAATGACAGGACCTGGAAAGAGAAAATTAGAATTAGGACACAAGTATTAAATACAAAGAAGAAGCAATAAAACAGTTTTTAAAAATGTGTTTGTGTATGGAGAAATAATAATAATTAAAAAAAACCCCAATAAGTTCACAACAGCACCAAATTTGCACCAGGCTGTCAAAACACAAAGTGCAGTTTCACTGTAAACAGCACTATTAAGCTGTTACTTCCTCACAGTTGCACAGTGAGGATTTAATAAGCTGTGGCAGGAATGACAAACATTCACTTTATAAAAGCTTTTCACTCTCACATCCCCAGTTTGATTTATTTATTTATTTTTATTTTTTTTTTTGAGAAATACCAGATGTAAAAAGTCTCAGTGGGTAAAGTTCCTCAACGTTTCTGCAAATCTACAGAAAGAAATCAGTAGAAGAAGGTTAGTGTGACGGATRCTGCTTCGTGCTGCTGCTCCCTTTAACTGCCCGCATTAATGCATGCGTTTGTGGATAATATTTCAGCCGGGCTCACTTGCAGAGTCTCTGCTTTGAGTCAACACGAGAACACAGACTGAATGACACAGCACAGACTCGGGTGGGCCTGACTAAACAAAAAGAGAAAAATTAATGAAGACCTTAAGGGCACTCCCGTTTATTGCCTCACTGTTCAGAATGTTCTGCTCAGAGTATTTCATACCTCTGGGGGTTACCAAGTGCTAAAGGCTGAACCTGCTGCTTCGTGAGATATGCTTTTTTATTTAGACAAAAATGCCAAAACACAGTAAAGTTTCTTCCTTTTTTGACTGGTTTGTACCGTTGCTGTAGCTTCTTTGTGCACATTTGCAGGATAATATAGTGACAGACTGTATCAGCTATGCTTGATCTAATTGGTTGCCAAATTTACAGACTAAAGGTGGGATGTCAAACTCATTTTCACCAAGGGTTCCTAATCAGCATTAGGGATGTTTCGTGTTTAACTTTGACCAAACATAAAACATCACGTTCCTGAGCACCGCTAACTAAAAATAACTGAGATCTAGTGGTATTTCCTGCATAAAAACAGTGTTTAAGCACGTCCTTTTATAAACACTGAACGTACAACTGACAAAATGTACAGTAAATAATACAGAAATACTATTAAAAAACAAAAGTAAGAGTCTTACTTACTGCTGATTTGTGGTGGGTAGCTGGCATCTTGAATTTTGAACTCTCCCACTTTCCAATAGAGAATTCCCAATGGAGGCGGTGTTCCTGTTTAAATTTACGATTTGCAAAATGTAGCAAAAGTAGCCAAAGAAAATGTGGCAAAATAGAAATTTTACTTGGCAAATTTTGCCATCTATTTTTGAACAATGTGCACATCCAGGTGGGATACTGTCATTTTGCGGATAAAATTATTGACGTGCATTACGGTAGATGTAGTTTATGGTCAATGCTGGCTTTAAAGCAGCATACATTTTTGTCACTTCAGGAAAAAAAGGAACTTAATATTAGTATCCTAATTTCTTCATCATCAGTGAATGTTTTTTTTAGAAAGAGGAAAGGAAAAACAGGGGAAATGTAAATGGAAGGATTGAAAGAGAGATTAGAAAATATATTAAATATACACCAAGAAAACACAAGGCAACAAACCCGACATCTTTATGCTCACCTGAAAATAAATGGATATAAGAAAACATAGCAACAAAATATATACTGTATCTATATATAATAAAATTTATTATGTTTTCTGTAAAGCATGTATACGTATATATACCCATACACACATATAGATATATATGCTGTAGATACACAGTATACAC